GGTGCTGACTTCCTGGTGACGGAGGTGGAGAACGGTGGCTCCTTGGGGAGCAAGAAGGGTGTGAACCTCCCCGGGGCTGCTGTGGACTTGCCTGCTGTGTCAGAAAAGGACATCCAGGATCTGAAATTTGGGGTGGAACAGAATGTAGATATGGTGTTTGCATCTTTCATCCGCAAGGCCTCAGATGTCCATGAAGTCAGGAAGGTCCTGGGAGAGAAAGGGAAGAACATCAAGATAATCAGCAAAATTGAGAATCATGAGGGAGTTCGGAGGTTTGATGAGATCCTGGAAGCCAGCGATGGCATCATGGTGGCTCGTGGTGATCTAGGCATTGAGATTCCCGCAGAGAAGTTCTTCCTTCCTCAGAAGATGATGATTGGGTGGTGCAACCGAGTCGGGAAGCCTGTCATCTGTGCAACGCAGATGCTGGAGAGCATGATCAAGAAGCCCCGTCCCACCCGGGCTGAAGGCAGCGATGTGGCCAATGCAGTCTTGGATGGAGCGGACTGCATCATGCTGTCTGGAGAGACAGCCAAAGGGGACTATCCACTTGAGGCGGTTCACATGCAGCACCTGGCCGCCTGGCGCCCATTACCAACGACCCCACAGAAGCCACCACCGTGGGCGCCGTGGAGGCCTCCTTCAAGTGCTGCAGTGGGGCCATAATCGTCCTCACTAAGTCTGGCAGGTCTGCTCACCAGGTGGCTAAATACCGCCCCCACGCCCCCATCATTGCTGTGACCCGGAATCACCAGACTGCTCGCCAGGCCCACCCCTGTACTAGGACATCTTTCCTGTGGTGTGTAAGGACCCAGTGCAGGAGGCCTGGGCTGAGGATGTGGACCTCCGGGTGAACTTGGCCATGAATGTTGGCAAGGCCCGAGGGTTCTTCAAGAAGGGCGATGTGGTCATTGTGCTGACCGGGTGGCGCCCTGGCTCCGGCTTCACCAACACCATGCGTGTCGTGCCTGTGCCGTGATGGGCCCCAGAGACCCTCCTTTTCGAGCCCCTGGGCCATCCCCTTTCCCCAACCCATCCCTTAGGCCAGCAATGCTTGTAGTGCTCACTTGGGGGCTGTCACGTGGCACTGGTGGGCTGGGATACCAGGGAAGATTAATGCCTCTGTAAAACATGACTGTTTTTTAGGACCCTGTTCGGGTGAGGTGACCCAGAGCTGGGTTACACATCATGTGACCTCACCCAAGCAAGGGACAAAGGAAGGTTGCAGTACTGGAAGCCCCAGAGCTTAACATGGAGGGCAAAAGCTCCTGCTTATCATCCTTTGCGTACTCCATTTTTTACCTATAGAAAACAGATACCCAGAGAACTCCCAACCCTGGTCTGCGGTCAAGAGACCTCCAGCAAGAGTAGTGGCATAGGGCACTGGTTCCAGTTTAAGGAGACTGGCTCAGGCCCTCACTTGCTTCTCCACCCCCCTCAGACTCCCCCACTCCCACCTTGTGTGCGTTGTGCACTTATGTTCCTACACTCAGCTGTCACTGCAGGCAAACACTCCACCCTCCACCCTCCATTTTCCCCACTGCTGCA